CTCTCTCTCTCTCTCCTCTCTCTCCTCTCTCTCCTGTCTCCCACTCTCTCTCTCTCCTCTCTTCAAAGCATAGAGCAGACATCAGTTAATCCTCCAAAGATGCTTTCAAGGCAAACATTGTCCCTTTTGGAGCCCCAGAGCTAAGGCAGGTAGTTGGAGGGGGAACAGAGGAAGGGACAAAGGAGCTCGGAGCTCTGGGCCCCAGACCTGGTTCTCTGGAGAGACTCAAGTTGCAGAAAAAGAATGAGCCCACAGAAACGGAGTGAAGGAGGAGAAGGCTGGCAGAGTTCCTGCCCATGAGGCTGTCTCTCAAGGCTTCCTGGTGTTCTATCTCCTAGGATGCCACAAAGCAAAAAAAAAAAAAAAAAGAAGAAGAAGCCTGAGCACAACTCTGTACCGGTCACCAGAAGAAGAGTTCCAAGAACTGGATTGTTCTCCAGAACCCATGGACAGCAAACATGTTTGGGGGAGGGGGGTCCAAACCAAAGTTTGGGTCCCATTTGCCACACTGAGTTCACTCTGGCTCTCCCTCCTCTCCTTTCCTAAAATGGGGCAGGGTGGGATTTGTGTGTGAGCCGAGGCAGGGCCCTGCCTGACTGGTCTTTGCATCCAGGCACTCATACCCATAAGGATCACAGCTTGTCACCACCTTGGCCATAAATGTCACACATTCTCACGTTACATGTTTATCCAACCTTTACGATCTTGCTCTGAGATTCCTAGAAAAGTAGTACGCACCCCTGGTCAAACTATAAAAGCCGCTTCTCTTCAGCTCATGTGGGCACCGTTGCTATCTTCCTTACTGATGTGTGTGTGGTGAATGCTCACAGTCCCCAATGTACCCAGTCAACACTTGGAGTAACTTGCTTTTCCACAAACCATGTACTGTTGGCTTTCCTAAGCAGAACCCATGCCGCGTGCAACAGAGCAGACCTACTGGGGATTGAAGTGTTTATAGGAAGGAGTCCACTAGAGGATGAGAGCAGGATTTCTCTCCTTTTACCAATCATCAAAGAAGTAAGGGAAATTGCTTTACAACTGACTCCTTAACAGCTATTCTGACATAGACTTGCAGACATATTATATGCATGCTCACAATGGCATAGAAAATGCAAAGAAAGATACACAAAAAAAAACTGTGTACAGCTATGGAGAGCAGAATGGGCATATGGGGAAGAAATCTCGCTCTTAAAATTTTATTTTTTAATTATATATACATGGGATCAGGGGGTCATGAGTGCCAGTGTCTACTGAATCCAGAAGAGGGTGAAGATTTCCCGGAAGCTGGAGTTACAGGTGGTTCTGTGCCACCCCATACGGGTGCTGAAAACCGAGCTCAGATCCCGTGCAAGAGCAGTGTGCACTCTTAACCACTGAAGCTATCTCTCCAGCCTTGGAAGTCCTTGGCCTCTTGTTTTATGCCCTTTTGTCCTATACATTATTTTTAAATAATGTACTGCTTTTTGAGTGTTGAAAAGTCACAAAATGAGAAACATACTCTAACATCATTTATTTTTCCCAAAGGGTGTCGTGTGTCCCTATTCTTTTTGTTGGTGTTGGTTGTTTGTTTATTTTGAGATAGGGTTTCTCTGTGTTACTCTGGCTGACCTGGAACTCTCTGTAGACCAAGCTGACCTCGAATTCACAGAGATCCGCTGGCCTCTGCCACCCAAGTGCTGAAATTAAAGGCGTGTGCCTGCGCTGCCGCCGCCGCCGCCGCCGCCGCCACCACCACCACCACCACCACCTAGCAATGTGTCCCTATTCTATGCAAAGGGTAACTTTTGAAAACATCTTGCTACCTACATGAATTGCAAACTCTTGAGACAGGCATAGTGATACACACACACACACACACACACACACACACACACACACACACACACAAAATCCCAGCCCTTGGAAGGCTGAGGCAAAAGAATCAAGGCCATCCTCTCCTACACAGCAAGTTTGAGGCCATCCTGGGATACATGAGACCCTACCCCATCCCCAAAAAACACCGCAAACTTTCATCATGACACTGTCAACACCTAGGAGGCTTCCCTGGAACATACCCCACTGAGATGCACATTGGATGGATGAAAAAGTCAAAGCTGCGTTTGGCAGTCAGCATGCCATGTCGTCAGACACACAGAACCTGATGCATACCTCCGCGACCAGCAATATGCTCAACCTTCTTGTCTTCCCTTGAGGACGATCTGAGAAGTCATGCCTCCTTCCTGACTTGCCCATCACCAGTCAGACCTGACTCCAGATCCCATTCCCCAGAAAACCCAAAAACACCATGACACAAAAACATGCCACAGAATGACATCCCTTCAGTTATCAAAGTCATCTTTTCCTTCCTTAAAAAGTGGGGCTTTTCAAACAGTACAAACCTCTTTGGCCATCGAAGTGTTTGCTTAAGAAAAATTTAGGTTGGAGGCTTGGAAAATGAGGACCTCACCTCCCAAGGCCCTCACTGGTGTCAGGCAATCGGAAATGAAGTAAAATGAAGCTGAAGTGATGTGGCTGATTGGAAAACCCAAATTGTTTACAACGGCTGCACTTGACATGCTTTTCTTGTGAATGCAGCTAGACCAGAGGTTCTTAACCTTCCTAATGCTGTGACCCTTTAACATAGTTCCTCATATTGTGGTGACCCCAACCAGCAAATTATTTTTGTTGCTACTTCATAACTGTAATTTTGCTACTATTATGAATCTCAATATAAATATCTGTGTTTCCCAGTGGTCTTAGGCCACCCCCGAGAGAGGGTTGTTTGATCCTGCAGGGGGGGTCGCGACCCACAGGTTGAGAACCTCTGAGCTAGATAGCGTTGATAGCAAATTTGTCCCTGGGAATCTTAACATTTAGTGTGCATCCTGTGTTCCTTGCGCTCCTGGTATCGGGCAGGAGGAAGCTCCAGGATCAAACTGTCCATTTCAGCCTGGCTCTCTCCAATCAAAGCTTTCTAATAGTCACAGGGGTCCTGAAGTTAATCAGTGACTGCTCACATTTGACGCCACAATCCTTGAAGTCACTGGGGGGAGGGGGGGCGAATCTGTGCGGCACACCAGAATGCATTCCTTTGGGGGCACAGGTGTCCTTCTCACTCACTCACTTCCGCCCTCTCCTTTCTGAGGCTGATTCAGAAGGGAAGGGAAGAAGCTAAGAAAACCCTCACCTTTAATATTAATCAGTCCCCGGATGATCAGAGCCCAGACTACACAGGACTTGAAAGAACGATCGAGACTTTGATATGGAATATGAAAACCTAACAGGCAGGAGGGGTAGGAGACAGCAACCTGGGAGGCCTAGGGCTCAGCTTCTCCCAGCTCTGTCCCCGCCTTACACAGTGTCGCTCGCTCGCTCGCTCACTCGCTCCTGGTCATTAAGTCGCCATGCTCTATCACAGTCCCCTACCTTTCTGCCCGTGAGATGAACACAGTGAAGCCCCGTATGGCTTTTGCTCACTTGCCATGACACATTTAAAAACAAGAAGAACCGGGAATGTTAGCTGCTACTCCCTACCTCTTTCAATGGCATTTCCCATGTACCAAGGCATCCCTACCCCTAGGGAGGCAGTAGGCTGTCATTATTAGCCCCATTTTACAGACAAAGAACTGAGGCCCAGTGTGGTGACATGGCGAGGCAGGGTGGTGTGTAGATGCAGCGCAGATCTGTTTCATGCTTTGAAACGCATGGCCGGGAAGATGTGCTGGGCTGTGAGAGGCTCCTGCCCAGACTCACACAGAACTCTGTCCTCCTCACTCGGGTCCTATCACTCTCTGTGGAGTCAGCCTACTCCATACAGCTGAGGCTTCTATTCTTGGATTTTCGTTTTCTTCCAGGGAAGCCACAGGTTTGATGTACCCCAAGTCCTCACACTTGCTATGCTGTTGAAGGTGCCCTTGATTTCCTAATCCTTCTGCCTCTGCCTCCCAAATTCTAGGATTACAGGCGTGCACTACCACAGACAACTTGCCGCTGAGTTTGATAGAGAAATTTGCATCTACACCAATCTCAGGAACCCAATAGCCAAGGCCAGGTGGGGAGTGGGGATGGGGACAAAATGTTTTACTGACCAGAACATAAATACATGGGACTCTGGTCCATGGATAACTCTGAGTCACTGGAACAGCTGTTAACACCGGTGCTGTTAGCTAGGGACCTCACTCCACACACAGAATCCCACACCTGAATCCCCATCCGTAGGTATCGGGAAATTAGATTCTAGAACCCAGATGGAGCATTGATGCCAAAGGGCAACGTGGGTTTTCAGGAAATGTGCATTTGTGAGGTCGCCTCACACTATGCCTTTCTAGAGCTCATCCTGTCCAAAGGCTTCCAGCAAGAGCAGTCTGTGCGTGCTTCTCTCTGCCCAGACTCAGTGGCAGCCGCACACACCTTCATTACGTTCCTAAAGACCTCTTCTTCCCAGGACACCAAAGCAGACACCACGGCTCCTCTAACCCCACTGAATCTTTCTCCTAGACCGGTGGTTCTCAACCTCCCTAATGCTGCGACCCTTTAATACAGTCCCTCGTGTTGTGGTGACCCACCACCTGTAGCAGGCTTTCTTTTGGGCCACCAACCAGCTCCCAAATCATGACATGGAGACCTATTATTAGTTATGAATGCTCAGCCTTATCTTATGCTTGCCCCAGTAGCTCTTATAACTTAATTTAACCTGTTTCTCTTCATCTACATTTTGCCCTGGGGCTTTTTACCTTTCTCTCATCCTGTATGTCCTACTCTATGGCTGGCTGACAGCTGACTGGCCCCGAGCATCTCCCTCTCTTTCTCCCTTGTTCTCTTCTCCCTTCTCTGCTCTCAGTCCTAGAGTCCTCCTCCTAGTTATCCTCTCTGCCTGCCAGCGCACCTATCCCTCTACTGCCTGGCTATTGGCCGTTCAGCTTTTGATTAGACCAATCAGGTGCCTTAGGCAGGCAAAGCAACACATCTTTACATCGTTAAACAAATGCAGCATAAACAAATGTAACACATCTTTGCCTAATTAAAGTAATAGTCCATAACACCAGCCATAAAATCATTTCATTGCTGCTTTCATAATTGTAATTTTGCTACTGTTATGAATTGTAATGCATACATCTTACATGCAGGATATCTGATATGTGACCCCCTTCTCCAAGGGGTTGTGACCCACAAGTTGAGAAAACACTCTCCTAGACCCTCTCCTCTTCAGTAGAATAGCTGCCTTTCTTCTCTGATAAACCCTGGAAGGTGCCTACCCTACCCCAGCCAGAACATTCTCAATTTGCTCTCTGGAGGAGGTAGAAGCAGACAGGGAAGAAAGGGAGAGAGAGAGGTGGAGGTGAGGGTCTGGCATTTATGAAAGAAGTCTGTTTCCCTGCCTACTTAGGGAATACCCCAAGCCCTACCCAGGTCTAGGGAATGAAACTACCTTCTAAGAAGGTGGGGGACTAGACAGACCTTCAGGAGCAGGGGACCCACCTTGCAGGAGATGGTCCTCTGGAAAGAGCAGCCGACGGACCCCCCCACCCAGACGGACCCCCCACCCAGGGTTAAGAGCATAGGTGTCTACGGCTCCCTTTTCTCAGCTCTGACTTGGTACATGTCACTGTCTTAGAATGTCGTTGCTGTGATGAAACACCATGAGCAAAAGCAGGTTGGGGAGGAGAGGGTTTGTTTCACCTTACAGCTCTTGGTCCATACTCCATCGTTAAGGGAAGTCAGGGGCAGGAACCTGGAGGCGGGAACTTAGCATAAAGCGGAGGCCACGGAGGAATGCTGCTTACTGGCTTGCTCCCCATGGCTTTCCCAGCTTGCTTGCTTAAACACCCCCAGCCCAACTGCCAAAGGATGGCACTGCCTTCCATGGACTGGGTCCTCCCACATCAATCATTAATCAAGAAAATGCCCCACAGACTTTCCTGCAGGCAATCCGGTGAAAGCATTTTCTCAATTAAGGTTCCTCATCCCAGATAAATCTAACTTGTGACAATTTAACAAGGAAAAAAAAAAAAAAAAAAACAGCCAGGACTGAGCCAAGCTAAAACCAGCAGTGTGAACAAGGCATGAGGCCAGCACTGGACTTCCCACACAGGAGGCCGGAGGCCACAGTGGGCTGCACAGGCGTCTCACCTTGCTGGCCATAACTCTGTCACTTCAGGGCTGAGAGTCCGCCCCAACCTCTGCTCCTCTGCAGTGGACCTTTTCAGGGCTCCCCAGAAAAGGGATGCGAAGTGGGGAGAAGGCTCCTGAAGGGATGGGGAAGCACTGGTCATCCTGGGGCAGACACCAACAGCTGAAGTGATTTGTTAGCCCTTTTTTTTTTCCCATGAGTTAATTCACTTCCAGCAGATTCCATTAGTGACCTGACAGGCCCAGGGCCTGGAGGAGGGCCCTGGAAGAGCTGCTGAATCAGCCACAGAAGGGGGGTAGCAGGGAAGGCCAGCCGACTTGCACGGGAGCCCTTTGCCCAGGGTTTCCGTTTGAAGAGCTTAGAATAACTATTTGCCAAGCTATTGTTGGGCAGGCCCCTCCACACCACGTATAGAGAGAAAACACAGGAACCTTTGGCCACTACATGTAAATGGCCAACCAGGGGCTGATGCAATGCAGGAAAAGGATTCTCCCGTAAAAACAATCTTGTCTTCCTGAGAGCCAGAATAAAACAAAGGCCAAGGTCATAAGGTGGTCCTATCCGCTGCTGGGGACCCATGCCTAGGGTGGGGGAGGGGCAGTGAACTCTGCAAGTTTCTGGGGGCCACTCCGGCCACTATCAGGGCAAATAATAGCCACCTTTGTGAACACTTCTTTGTGAGTGTGTGTGCATGTGCACATGTGTGTATGGAGACCAAAGGACTGCTTATGATGTCACTCCTTGTCCACCTTGATTCTGCGTGTGAGTGTGTCTGTGTGTGTGCATGTGTCTGTATGTGTGTCTGTGTGTCTATTTGTCTCTGTGTGTGCATGTCTATGTGTCTGTGTGTGTGAGTGTGTCTGTTTGTCTCTGTGTGTGTGCGTGCATATCCGTGTGTCTGTGTGTCTGTTTGTCTGTCTGTGTGTGTGCATGTCTATGTGTCTGTGTGTGTGAGTGTGTCTGTTTGTCTCTCTGTGTGTGTTTATTTGTGTCTCTGTGTGTGTGCATATCCGTGTGTCTGTGTGAGTATGTGTGTGTGTGTGTGTGTGTGTATGT